CTCCCCAGCTTCCCCATGAAGTAGCTTCTCTCCTTCTCTAGGGGACAGTGTTTCCACCAGTCCAGCTGGCCCAGGAGAGTCAGCAAAGCCTGTGTTCCCATGTCCTGACCCCACAACCATCTCCTGTCTCTGAATCTTCCACCTGCCCTACAGCCCAGCTCCTTCCTCTTAGGCTACAGGCTAGATGCTACCTCAAGTGGAACTATGTTTTCGCATTTCCACTTCCATTCCTTGTGGCTACTATGTAGAAATAATACTGATTTTACTACATTGAACTTCCACCCTTCCTAAACTCACTTGCTAGTTCTAGTAGTTTCCCCCCCACCTCCATAGATTCTGTAGGGTTTTCTAGACAGACATGCTGTCATCTGTCAATAGAGACCCTTTTACATCTCACTTTCAACTCTGGATATATTTCATTTCTTTTTCTTGCCTTATTACATTGGCTAGAAATGCCATAACAGTGCTGAATTAAAGTGGTGAGGGTCAATACCTAGTTTTGTTCTTGATTTTGGGGCACAAGCGTGCAGTGTTTCATTTAAGTATGATGTCAATATATATATATTGACATATATGATGTCATATATATATATATATATGTATAGATGCCCTTTATCAGGTTGAGGAAGTTCCCTTGTCTTCTTAGTGGGCTGAGTTTTTATCCAAATGTCAGAATTTGTCAGTTGATTTTCTGCATCTGTTGAGACAATTGATACTTTGTATTATTTTGGTCTGTTAAAATACCAAATAGCATTAATTGATATTTAAATATCAAACCAACCTTGCATTCCTTGAATAAATTTCATTTGCTCATGATGTACTGTCCTCTTTATATATTGTTCAATCAAACCTTAGTTAAGGTTTTTTGAATCTGTGTTCATGAGGGATATTGGTGTGGTATTTTCTTTTCTTATAATATATGAGTTTGGAATCAGGATAATTCTGGCCACATGGACTATTCATGAATATTACAACTCATTAGTGTTCTAGAAGAGTTTGTGGAGAATTGTTAGTATTTTCCTTGAATATTTGGTAAAACATGCTGATCAGCACTCAGGGATGATTTGAGGGAGCACTCTGCAGATCATGGGAGTGGTGTCCACACAGTTCTGTCATCTCTGCTGCTCTGTCTTGTGAACTCCAGCCAATCTGTATTCCTCCACTCCCAACTGTGTCCCCTTAGCTCCACGAAGTCTGAGGACTCCTGCTGGGTCATCCTCCCTCTGGCAGTGGGGACTCTCCCCAGTTGGCCTGGCACTTGTAGGGCTCAGCTTGTTGTTTCCCCTCTTTTAGGGATAACTGCTCAGCATGTTTTAACCCTCACTCTCTGTAGTTTCACATATTTTTCTCATCACTTTTCTGTTCTTTGTTGTGGTTGTTTTATATAGGAAGGCAAGTCCATTCCCTATTCCTCTGTGTCAGATAGAAGCAAAAGTCTTCGTGTCAGTCATCTTGACTCATTTGGTTTTCATCTGGATTTTTTCTAGACATTTATGTACCTTCTTACTTTGAGGTATCTGGGTGTTTTACACATGGTCTCATTGATATTTTTGCCTTCTTTTTTGTTTGTAGAAGTCCTTTATACATCATGGATGCAAGTCCTGTGTGTGTGTGTGTGTGTGTGTGTGTGGTTTCATGAAATTTTCCCACAGTGTAGAACTACCACTATAATCTTATGAAACTACTCTACCACCTCAAAAAACTCCCTATATGATTCCTTTTGTCCATAACCCCTGGAGACCACTGATGTATTCTCCGTTCTCAATAACGTTGTCCTTCTGAGAATGTCCTATAAATGGAATCATATGGTATGTGACTCTTTGAGACTGTTTTCTTTCACACGGCATAATGTTTTTGAGCTTCATTCACATTGTTGAATTTATCAATAGTTCATTCCTTTCTGCTACTAGGGAGTATTCCAACATAAGGAGGCACCATGTTTGTTGACCCATTTACCCATTCTCTTGTTAAAGGACATCTGGGTTTTTACCAGTGTTTGGCAATCATGAGTAGGGATGCTATTAACTTTAGTCTGCATGTTTTTTTGTGTGAACAAAAGTTTTGTTTCTCCCAGGAATAAATATCTAGGAGTTTTACAGACTGGCTGCGCCATTTTGCATATAATGACACATATATGTCTCACCAGCAACATAGAAATTCCGGATACTCCACATTCTTGTTAACACTTTGAATTTTATTGGCAGGGACTTTTTTTTTAAATCTTAGCTGACTTAATAGTTAATGGGTATGTAATGATTTTCTACTGTGGTCTTCATGTTCATTTTCCAATGGCTGATGTTGGTGAGCATCTTTTCATGGATCACTTTACCTTTTGTGCATCCTCTTTGGTGATGTATGTTCTCAAATCTCTTACCCATTAAAAAATACTTTGTATTTAAAAATAACTAGATCCACACACACAAAAATACATAAAGTTTCCATGTACCTTCATTTGCTTTCCCTCCTTGGTATATATTACATAATTACAGTACAATGTCAAAAGCATGGAATTGGCATTGGTATGATGTGTGTTTATGGCTTTTCTCCTCTACATGTCATTTACTGCCACCACAACCAAGCTATGGACCTCTTCCACCACCATAGAGCTCTCCCTCAGGTTACCTATTTAGAGAGTCATCCACCCCTGCCCTCAAATTCCTACCCTGGCACCATGCATCTATTTTTCATCTCTATAATTTTGTCATTTCACAAAGGTTGTACACATAAAATCATACAGAATGTGACCTGTTCAGATTGGCTTTTTCACTCAGCATAATGTCCTTGAGATCCATCTTAGTTGTTGTGTGGACCAAATGTTATTTTATTTTTGTATTTGTAGGTACTACATTTAATGGGTGTGCTAGAGATTGATTAGGCATTCACCTAGATATTTTGGTTGTTATTTTAGCTATTACAAATAAAGTAAGCCATTTATATTTAATGTAATTGTTGATATGTTGTGGCTTATATCTGACATTTTATTTTTCATTTCCTGTTTGTTCCCTCTGTGTCTCTGTTTTCTTTTACATACATTCCTGTGGGCTACTTGAACACATTTTAGAATTCCACTTTAGTTTATCTACAGTGCTTTTGTGTTTTTTTGTGTGTTTTTGAAATAATTTAGAATTTTAATACAGTTATTTCACATATGAGTAAAATGAGTCTTGCTAATAAAACCAAATACAAATGAGTTTTAAAAATCATATTCTCTACTGTGCTTTTGAGTAGAGCTTTACTTATGACTTTGTAAAGCTTTTTTACTGGTCGGTCTACATATTATATTTTATGTATGTAACACACAGTCTACTGGAGTTTGAGTACAAGGTAGAAAACTTCCATCTCTTTGCCAGATATTTTACCAGTTCAAGAACATCCTTTCGTCATCTTTCATTTATAACATCATCATCTTGAACATTTCCTTCTACAGACTGTGAGAATCGCACAAAACAGTGTTCTAATTTTTGCTTAAACCATCAAACACAATTTAAAAAACTTAAGAGGGGGAGGGAATCCTATTGTATTTACCTACATTTTTAGTCTTTCTTCTTCCATAATGTTCCTTGATTCCTTCTTTTATCATTTCCTTTCTGTTCCATGAACTTCTTTTTTTTAAATTTT